GGGTTACTCTGATGCAACGAAAGCAGAAAAAAAGCTAAATAGCATAAAGAATGTATGCAGACACACTGCTGGGGTGTTGGAGCTGAGAGCTCACACTAAGCTGTGTTCAAAACTTTCAGCTTTTTACAGAATATCCCACAAAGAAAAAAAAAATCATCAACTCTAAAGACGAGTTTCTCTCCACTGAAATACTAGAAGCTGATATTTGAATAAAAAAAAAAAAACCTCCTGCCAAGAATGCAAGAAGTTCCAACGTGACTGCCAGCCACATTAATAAAAGGAAGGAGGGAGTCTACATGTGTGGATCTGTGGATGTGGCCTCAGAAAGTTCAAGGAGCAGAAATACACCAGGCCACTCCGGCAGAGCCTGTAATTTCCTACATTATCGCACGAAACGTCTTAGGTGGCGATCTGCGCCGGCCCCCGCGTGCCGTCTCGCGCGCACGTTTTGAGCGAGCGAGCAAGGGCGAGCGTTTGGAGCTGGAACCGGTCCAGATGTGCAAAGTCGAAGCGAATGCCTGAACTCCCAGTGGATGGAGGTGCGGAAAGAAGAAACGCAAGGATAGAAGAAAACCTCCAGGACAAAGACGAACAGAAAGAGTGAAAGCTCTGACGGTTGTGGACACGATGCACCTCAGATGCACTAAAACTGGAACCACGAACAAAAGTCTAATTTAGAACCAAAGTCTGCTTTTGTCTTTTTTTTTCTCTCCCCCTTTTATTCCAAGTTTTTCGAAGTAGGCGCCTGAGACAGAAGCAACAGGCCGGCTGAAGGAGCTGCAGTGTGTCTGCCTATCTACACTTGCTGTGCAGAATATCCTCCAACCTGTACAGCAGGCACAGACAGGCAGAGAGACGCCAGCCTGCCCACAGAGGCCAGCAGGATGCACCAAACTGTTGATACAGTCTGTAAACTGCAACATTAAAACTGTACATTTACTTTGTTGGTTATGTGATGGAGCCATGTGTAAATCAATAAAATCTTGCATTGAAACACTAAAGTGATCCAAGTCATTTACTCATCACAGGATGAATTCCACGATGAACTGGGGTTTGGTGGAAATATTATATCAAACCTGTTTTAGAAAACAGTTTTAGTTTAATTCTGACCAGATAAGCTGAGCGAACGCACCATTTGATAAATTAGTTTTGCATCATTCGAATATTTAGACAAACATATTTTAACATTCTTACAGAAATAGCTAGCTGTAGCACCAGCTGTGACTGCCCTTTGTGCTCGCAAACAACCATCAAAGTCCGTGGAAGTGATCTGTTAACGTTAAAGGAACAGAAATGTAAACTTTTATATAATAGTGTTTGCATGAAATCTTTTAGAGTTGAAATTTTTAGGAACGCAGCAATCCACTTTGAGCTTATCTTTAGCCTTTAGCTTGTTTGTTCAGTATTAAACAGAAAGTCTACGACAGGTAAGATATTAGCTGTTTTTAATCTTTCCACAGAATCCTACATTTAAATAAAAGCTTTGATCCATCATCCCTGTAGGTGTCTCACATTACACAGAGGATGCTTTTATACACAGCTTTAAGAAACTGCTGACAAGATAATTAACAAAACAATATTCTTATTTCCATATCCATTTTTTGTTTTTTTGCTCCTGATTAACTGAGGAGACGACCTGTTTACTGGAAAATACAATCACAGCCTGATTAGTTAATGTTATAGTCTAGTTCCACATTCTTAAAGCAGAATGTTGAGTTTTAAACCAATAATTGGTATTTGAGGATTTGAAACCCTAAATATGCCTAGAAAATATGACAGTACGTGTTAATACAGAATATTACACAAGGCCCAGAGATACTCGTAGTGCCTAACGTCCAAGGGCCACATTAACTGAGAAAAAACTCTTGAAAGACAAAGGTTGAAGAAAAGTCTGCGTGAACGCAGCAGAACTGCCATCTGCAAAACAAAGCAGCTGCTAAAGTTTTCAGATGTCAGTTTGTGGTTAAAAGACGTAACTTTTAAAATCTGGTTTTCTGTTTTGAATTGTTTGTCCTCAGTTTGTCTCTGCCAAACTCATATTGTACCAGTCATGGAGATGAAACTTTCAAGATGTTTAATTTGAACTTTTTTTTCAGCTGTTTTCCGACTCGTTATTAAAATGCCAGCTTTCACTGATTTATTTGATTTAATTATTATTTTTTTTTTACGTTTCAGGACATCAGGGAGCAAGTTGACACTGCCTGAGGACTGGTTCTAGATCTGAATGGAAGATTTATGCAGACCCGCTCCAAACCAGTGGTCTCCAAAAAATAAAAAAATTAAATTAATTAAAAAAAAAAGAACTCTGGCTTCAGAACTAGAATTGTTTTAAAGATGAATCTCTAATAAGACTAAAATATTCCTGCATATGAAAGAACCCTGCAGCTGTTTAGTAAACTTCATGTTAGGAGTTTAGTCCAAAGGAAAACATTCTTTCTGCCTTTCAGACAAATAAACCTCCATGACCTTAATTCATGTTGTTTTAAATATCTTTAAAAGATGTGTTTCTTTTAATTTATTTTTGTTAACACATTGATTGTTTCCTTATATTTACATGAACAATTTTCACTCTAAATTTATCCCTAAACAATAAGTTGTTTGTTTCTTCGCCTGAGTTTTGGTGTTACTCTGTGTTAGAAAACGATCAGAAGATATAAACGCTAAATGTTAAATACAAATCTGAAATTCACTGTAAAATAAATAAAAAGTTGTTGACAAAGACTTAAGAGTTTGTCTGACATTAATGAACACATTCTATCAACAAAAGCAGTAATAAATTATAAAATACAATTGAACATTTTATCTTAATTTCCAGTTATGTAAGAATCAGTGATTTCTGATCTGTTCATTATAAATAATCTGTCACAGCCTGGAAATCATTATAAAATGTATTAAACTAGCATGTTTGATTATTTTTCATTGTTTTTGGTTGCTTTAAATAATAAATTGAGCTAAATGCACGTGTAAAGCTGTACAGATTGTCTGTAAATTATAAATTTAAATTATTATCATTTTCCCTAATTTTGCAGGTAAACAGACATACAGTATAGGGCAATCTCACTTTTATTTTATTAATCTCACTGATTAAAAAAACACTACTTCAAAATTAATTAACTATAACTTTAAACTTTGCGTACATGCTTCTTGCTCCTTACTGTCTGTTGACCAACAGGAGAGGAGCTGACCTAAGAAGCTCCGCCCACTTATTTTGCATAATGAGGCAGAAATGCACAAGTTAAAGTAAAAACAGCAGACAGAGAAATGTAAAAGCAACACATGGGAATAAAAAGACTTGTGAGAAAAACAACAAAAAAATTAAATGAATGCATCTATAAGTAAAAGGAAAAACAAAAAAATGTCATTTAAAAAATTTAAATTATGTGCTATATTATAGAATTTATTGGAACTAAGCTAGGTCGACTAAAAAATGAGGCTAGGTTCTCCTTTTTTAAATTAATTGGTTATTTTAAGTGTATTCATTTATTTATTGGTCCTTTTATATATTTCTGCTTTTATTTTTAATTATGACAGTTTTAATCCCCCATATCTCTGTGCTGCAGACGCTGTTATCTCCGCCCCACATTGGGGATTTTCAGGTTGTTTTTTTTTTGGTTTTTTTTTTTGTGAAAATTACAAACTCTTGAGGGTTAAGATAAAGGTCAGAAGGGGTTGACATGTATACAAGTGCTTTCTCTCGTTGTTTTTATCTTTCAGAAAACCCACCACCGCTCTCCTCGTGGGTCAGAAGTAACCCCGGAGCCACCAGTCGATGACCCCTGCTCCAGGCTGTTCCAGTCATTTAAATAAACTCGGTGCACCTGCTTTAAACTCACCTCATCATCCTTAAACCAGGAGAGGCTCTCGGCTGTCAGCACAAACCAGTACTCCTTGGCCCCTCCCTTCATGATGCTGATGTTGTTGATGGTCAGCCAGCCTTTACGGATAACCTGAGAGGAGGTCAGAATCCAAATCATCAACGAGAAACTGATGTGTACGTCTGAAAACACTGAAGAAAAACAACATTTAAGAAAAGCAAACTGGTAAAACGCTTCATCCTCCTTCGAGCAACAAACCAGCACGGCAGGTGGTTAAACTGGGAGCGTGTGCACAGAGGGCCATGAAACGTGTGTGAAGGTCAGGTTAGGTGTGTCTGCGTGTCATTCAGGGAACTGTGTTAGCATGTTTAGTACCTGCTGTGTTTAGTGCTTCAGACACACAGTGAAGCGTGTGTGTGTGTGTGTGTGTGTGTGTGTGTGTGTGTGTGTGTGTGTGTGTGTGTGTG